ACTAAAACTCAATCAAGATTCTAAGTAAGTCAACACAAAATTTAAGATTACACGAACAAGAATGGATAAAGAAAATTGCACCTGCTCCAAAAAAGATACAAATTCCTTGCCATTGAGAGATTTACCCTGAACAATTTTAGGTCGGATAATAGAGGAAACAACTGATTTTAACTGATCTCTCCTCTTAACGTATAGAGGATCGAGTTCAGTGTCATTCATGTCACACAGCTTCGTGCGTTGAAGATGGGGCTGTAAACAAAGAAATGCAAATAGTGCTAATCAATTTCAAGACATTTATGATGTTAATTATTAAAGAGTATATCCAAAACAAAATTTTCAGGGAAGGATTTAAGCCAGTGAGAGTTCAAAACCAGCTTATTCCTTAAAACAATGAAAATCACAATTAAGAATTCCTTTTGGGCACATTATTTACGTGTACAAGAGAGTTAACTGTTTGGGAGAAGGACAATTTACAGTGACCATTTGAATTAATATAACGAATATGTGAAATTTGAAANAAAAAAAAAAAAAAAAAAAAAATGAATGCAAACCTGAGGTAAGCTAAAGGCAGTGCTATTGTCCCCCATTATAGCCAAAGATTCCCGAATCTGATTAACCTGAAAGCAGTGATCAAAATCACAAGATGCAATTTTTAGAATATAGCATAATAACAATTCACTTTCAAATATAAGGCTCAGATATACCTGATCAATATTCTTGTCCCCTGCACCAAATACATAACGTCCTCGGTTAAGTTTGTGATTGATCAAAGAGTTAATTTTCAAAGATAGTATGCAGTTTGAGGTAACTAACCATTGGCATTAGGGACTCGTCTGAGAGACTCATCAACCATTTCTTGCACCGACTTTCCTTCTGGAAATTGTGAACAAATATTGCATCAAAATTTGCACAACAGATAAATTGAAACAAGGAAAAGCAAAAGATTATGAATGGCAACTCACCAATAGATTATGAACAAATTATTTAAGAGTGTGCCTAATTTTTTTTCAATAGAACATTCATGATACTTACGTAGAAAATCACGCTGAATTAGCCATAATAACTTTGCGGGTTCGAAAGCCACATCTTGCCCCTGCATGCCAAATCAAAGAAATAAAAAAAAATAAAAATAAAAAATCTTAACTTTGAGCTCATTTTTATCGTCTTTCCTTTCAGATGCGAAAAATAGGGCATGTGACATTTTTTTTTTTTGGAGATTCAGAGAAAGGGTATAATTAATTACCTTGACTCTGCCCATCACATGCGACCAAGAGGCATACACAATAATAAAAAGAGAGCATCAGAAGAAAACACTTATGTCAAAATGCATTTTGAATTAAACATAGGAATGTGTTGAACGAGTAACCTTTATAATTAGCATGTTACTACGAACCTTCCATAGAATTCTTCAGCAAGCTCCACTGCGAATGATAATCGAGATATATCTGCTTCACGTATCTAAGAATAAAGCAACGTTTGAAAATTATTTTAAACATTGAACTCCAAATTCAAATAACTTTTCTGACACACATCAAGAAATTATAAAACATTGCACAACTAACTAATCCCGTGAGAAAATGAATTAGAAGTGAAAATATCATAATAATAGGAACTTCATAGTCTTTCGTTTTAGAGATGATTTTCAGAACTAAAAGACCAAACCGTCTCAGGCAGATTATATATAAGCACAGAGCTCATCACAGTTGCCAGGGCAAAAATGCTGCAACAGAAGCAATTTAAAAAGAAAACAGTCAATCCACATACAGCAATAATAAAATATTTTTTTGTTATTAACAAATTAGATGACTGGTAAACTAAAAATCCAGCGATTTACCGGTCATCATATACATTTGACTTCCCAACACTTTCAAATCCCTCTGTATCAAGATAGAAGACTGAAGTTTTGACACCATCAATGTCCAATTCGATTGGAGTTCCCCACACCCATATTCCTATCATAGCAAATTCATACTTTGAGAATATTTCAAGTGTGTCTCATTAACCATATGCCATCTTTGGGAAAAAAAAAAGTCTAGCGTAAACCTTTAGTCTTAGTATCGCGCAAGTGCCCAACACCAAACCCTGCAAAGTATTGTCTTCAAAATTACGAATTGAAGGATATGTAAAAGAAATGATTTTCCATAAAAAAAAAATAAAAAAATGAAATGCTATGCTGTGTATACCTTCATAACATGACAGTGACAACAGCTGATTAAGAAGAAATGATTTTCCAGAACGATATGGACCAATAACCTGGAAATACATCAATAAATAGACAAAAAACTATAACTAAGTAGACAAAAAACTAAAAAGGTGAGAAAATAGATTCTCCTCGCAGAAAGAAAAAATAATATTAATATATAACATATAGCATACTAATTGGCTATCAATCAACTGCTTACAGCAACAGCTGCTATAGGGGTGGTGATTTTCTCAATTGCCTCCAAGCCTTCTCTGGAAAGGCGAAGTTTTGTGTGGCCAGGAGCTGGTTCTATAATAGGAAACCTAAGAAAGGAAAATTAAATTTTAAGGATATAGATAAAGATATAAGGTGCGTTCTTGAATGTAACTTGGAATTGGCACAAATGTACTTGGAATTGGCACTTACATTTGTTAAGGTAACCTAAGAATATTAAGCACGACCATAAACTCAAATGTATAGTTCCAATAAATCAACCAATGCAACATAAGTAAAGAAATTTATTTACAGGCAAAAACTCCATGTTGATTCATAAACCCATAAAGGTCTTTGTTTTAATTGCATAAACACAACTCCTTACGAATTTATAGCACATGTCGGAGAACAATATGTGCCTAGAGTTAAGCCCGAACTAAATTAGGACTCCACACGATATTGTACATTGCTATAACAAATCCAATTAGATATAGAACTATTTTTATAAGGACACTAAAATGTTAGTTGCAGGAAAGCATACAAACAAACTGCTACAAAAACATATCTCAAATGATGTCATCACGTTCACAACATCATAATACGCCAAACAATCATAAGAACAAATGATACATGAAAGTGCAGAATTTGATAACAATAACTAACAATTCAAAAGAAATCAAGACTTTCCACAAGTGGGGACATTTATTGTTCTAAGTGGGCCAATTATGCACCACTAACAATTGAGAGACAAAATTCATATCGACAAACCTAATGCACATTACTGCAACTTCAAAAAATTAGGTAAGAAAATACGAAAGGACAAAAAGGGAACTTACGCTTGACGAAAATTTTCAATAGAGAAGGACCCAGGCGCGAAAAAAGATAGAAGCGTCACAAAGACAAGCGGCGGACTGAAAATCCGCATCTTTGATCTCCCAACGCTGGGTTATCTTGAAAATGCAATGGAGTTAAGGGTTCAAGATTATACAGCCAAAAACTGAAAATCACTGCAAAAACAACCCAATAACGAGAAANGGGTTTTCAAGATTTTTCACTACAAAGTTTCAAGGGAGAGCAAAAATGGTTCAGGGTGATGGATCTCAAAGTTTTGAAGGGATTGGTTAAAAATCAGAATTAAAGCAGTTTTATCGTCCAAAGTTTTCAACTTTTGTTAACTGGGCTTCGGATCTTCGGATCTTCAAAATGGGGAGCGAGGGACGAGGAATTTTATTGATCTGTGAGATTTAGGGGAAAACTATAACGGGCCGCGAAGTAGCGGATTCCGCCCCGCTTGGGAAGTTAACAGACAAAAAAAACCCGGTTTTTAATTCTCCTTGTAATGAAGTCGCTTCTTGGCATCTAGCGACTTTTTTGGCTTAGGTAACAAGGGAATGGATATGGAATCTGGTCTTCTGAGTTTTGTGTGTAACGTGTTGCGTTTAGGCATCCTTCACGTCTTCCATTTTTCAATGTAAAAATTCCTTTTTTAATAAAATTTGTAAATGATAAAAAAATATATTTTAATGAAATGAACTCAATAAAAAAAAAATGTGCGATAGGAAAATAAAAATCATAGTAGTTTTTAGTTCCTCTCGTTTGTAAATCATGGTTCATTAGTACAGATTCTCAGGCATGTTTTTCTCGACCTCTCGGACAAATCATACCATGAATGCAGAGGTTGTTTAATTTACTTGTTGGTTTCTGTTAAATTTATGAGATTTTGTAATTTTATGTCTATATTTAGTAATTTTGTGTATTAATTTTGGTGTTTTGTAGTTATGTGTGTCAAATTTTTGTGTTTTTTAGTAGTTCATGTGAATTTGTTATGTTATTCATATGATCCAACAAGACTTTTAAGTTTATAACATTTTATTAAATTCAATTATAAATATATTTTAAGAGTTAATTATATTTATTCTCAATTTTTCATATATGATATATATAAATTATTTTTTTATGGTTTTCGATCCAACATTTATATTGTGTATATATAAAAATAATAATTACATTACCTTTATAAAACATTATTTTAATTTATAAATAATATTTCAAAATGAAAACAAAATTTTTATTTATATTTTGAATGTGTTAAGTATTTTTTTTTTTAATTTTAGTTGGCTAGACAGAAAACAAAATGTTATGTAATGTTGGAACTTGGGCGTAACATTGAGAAAGAAACCCAAAAACAAAGATTGAGAGGTAGAGAGCCCAAAAAGAAAGAAGAAAGAAAAAAGAAGAAGAAAATGAGGGAGGGAAAGAAAAAGAAATAATAATAATCGGTCCAGTTTCAATACAAAACTTAAAGTTCAACGTTTAAATCTGCGCATTAAAAATGAGTTTATTGCACCACGTCCTTTGTATTATGTTAAATATACGTCCTTTGTATTATGTTAAATATGTGCATTTTTCCTTAGTAATTTAAAATTGCGTCAAACTTACTTGTATTAAGTGTTGGCCAGCAGCTCAACGAGTCAAGGTTGAAAAACATTAATTTGGCGAAAATTTAGATTTATGTTTGAGTTTGAGAGTGAACATGAATTAAAATATAAAATTGATGTGATACATAAATAGTAAGATAATAGCTATAAATGATTGAAAAATAAAACTATCCAAGTGAGTGAACATTAAATTTTGTCAGGAATTGTATGAAAATGACTTGTTTTTATTATATAGGTATATTTGGTATTAAGGATAGTTAAGTGTGGAATTAGATTTGAATGTAATTAATTTCATATAAAAAATTTGCATTTAATTATATTTCCCTCCAAAAAAAAATATCGTACGACCAAAAAAAAATATAATTGTTACAAGTTTGATGAAAGTTTCAGTCAGATTGTACTTTTAGTTTACATATCCATATATATATAAATAGTTTTACATAAAAAATTGATGAAACAATACCATGAGCCCACCAATAACCAAATTATAGTGCATTTTTTGAGTTTTAATNTTCATATTCAAGAATCATTTTACATGAATAAGTAATATAATAATCATGTTTGGTGAAAACTGAAGTAGTCCATTCTTCTTTTTGAAAATGTATTTGACATTAATTGCACGCTTGGGACAAATTATATTATTAGAAATAAAAGTGGGATTTCTTTAGCTATTTAACTTGAGTACAGTTGTTTCCATAACAAAGTGCTCACGTTTAATTAATATAAAGCATGTATTTTATATTCATTTTGATGAATGGTATAAAAAGAGATCCAAAGTCAAATTATTACTTCTTGAGATGGACGAAAAAAGAAGACATCATTTTTCCAAAATAATGCTACACGATATATATAATCTTTATTCGTTCATTTATTTAGTTTCCTTGTGGACTGATGGTTACACAAATATGTGAATATTATATTTAAATATCGAGTTATATAATGAGTATATTACATTTAATAAATTATATTATTAATAATATAAAATAATATATTATATACTACTTTACTTATATAATTATTATATATTGCATTAAATATGAATAATAAAAATTTTATAAATTTGAAAGATCATGATCAATTATTTAGTTAAAAAATATTAAATTAACATTATATAGCAATTGTATTTTAAGAGGCATGCTATCTCATTAAACCTACTTTTAATGAGATAATAACTAATATTAATTTTAAAATAAATAAATTGAAGGAAAAGGTTTCCTATATACAATTTTTATAATTGCGTAACTTTCATAAAGTTTAGTGGAAATTCATAACTAATTAATACAATTAATAATTTTTATATGATAGGATAGTTAAAAATTTATTACACTTAATCAATATAAAATGTAATGATTGGTTTCCACAATGAAATGAAAAATGGGCGGAAAAATAGCATTGTAGTCTACAATTATATGAATGTACAAATATATAAATGAAATTTCACATTTTGTAGCATTATTAATTATACATGTTTGCTAGGACTCGCACAAATTTTTTGTGTAATAATTATGTACTCCCTCCTATTTTTAATAAATGTAGTTTTGAGAAGTTGCACAATAACTAAGAATATTTTTCTTGTCAATAATAACTCTCATTAATGAGGATAGAGATTGATGTTTTGAGAAAAGATGGAGAGTGAATATGAAAAGACTGTAGTGTATTTATTAGTTAGATGAGGGTAATAATGGAAAAATATGTACAAAATAGCCAAAACGACATTTATTTAGCAAATAATCAATTAAGCTAAGATGACAAATAATAAAAATAGGAGGGAGTATTACATTTATTTAATGCACACAAAGAGTTCAACGCCCATCAATCATGGTTCGGTTTCATGGCGCCTCTGAAAACTTTTACGTGCAATATTTTACTCCCTCCTATTTTTAATAAATGTCGTTTTGAGAAGTTGCACAATAATTAAGAATATTTTTTTTGTTAATGAGGATAGAGATTGATGTTTTGAGAAAAGATGAAGAGTGAATATGAAAAGACGTAGTGTATTTATTAGTTAGATGAGCGTAATAATGGAAAAATATGTACAAAATAGCCAAAACGACATTTATTTAATAAATGATCAATTAAGCTAGGATGACAAATAATAAAAATAGGAGGGAGTACATTTTATGCTTTGTTCCAGTGTTTTAAATGTCGTACCAGTGGTCATATCGGTCTAGCCACCGGTACGCGGTATTACAGGTCGGACCGGTAATATCGGTGGAATTACCGAATTAGCGAATATAATGATATATATAAATATACATAAAATATATAATACTAAATGCAAAAAAGTAAAAAAAAATAGATGATCATAATCATTAATTTCAACTTCTCAATGAGATAAAAATAAACATTTTAACTACCAATTTAAATATTATGTTTTTAAGTTAATAAATTTTATTTTTTTATTTATTTTTTATTTTTTTATTACTGACCGGTATTTACGGTATGATTTCGGTACAAACTGGTATAACCGTAAATCCGGTATTTTGAATGTAATAATACCGTACCAATGGCCGGTATCCAGTATTACGGACCGGTACGGTACGTTATTTACATAATTGCTTTGTTCCCAAAAAGTACACGGATGGCCTAAAAAAAAGAGTATTTTAATACGGAAAAATATCGCAACAAAATTATTTTCTTCAATCTAAAGATTCAAAATAATAATAACAATAATAATAATAATAAACAAGTATACTCATAAAGGTATGGGGATTTGCGTGCCTAATGCTACAAGTTAGTGAGTAGGGAAGGTTCTAAATTCTAATACACAATTCCGAATCTAGAAATTTCATTCAGGGGATCTAATAAACAAGTAAACTAATACTTCCCCTACATCTAATAAACAAATAAACTAAGACCTCTACGCCTAACAGACCAACGCCCGGCCACCCGAGGCCGTACACGAGTCACTTTCATAGCAAAGAGATCCAACAAAGCCGTAAACTAGAATCTCAAGTCCGAAAACTGCGGCAACTCGTACCGCCTAGACGGATCTGATGAAAAGTCTGCTCTCGATTCAGATATGGACTCCGAATAATCATCCACGCCATGGAAGGAGGGGAGTCTCCGAAAAAGCACAACGAGTTGCACCCTCAGACACAGAAACATAGGAGCATGAACCCATACTCACCGACGACTGACGAACTCAGGAGGCTATGGGCCCGGCACAGACGACCGACGACCCGAGCTTGGCCTTGGAGAAAGCGAGCGGCGAGCTCGATCACATTCCCGCAAGGCCTCGGAACAGGTGGAAAAGAGTCCCCCAGCCCCAACGCGGTGAAACCGGCTTGGATAAAGTAGCGACAACCCTGAGGTGGAGGGGGGCGGACGACGGCGGCGAATCTAAAGTTTTTGTTTTTGGAAGAGGAGAGGAAAGGGTTTTTTTTCTTTTGTTTTTTTGGCAATATGGCGTTCCTCAAATAAATTTAAGTCATTCATGTGAATATTGTTCAATAGACGTACTTAAGTCAACCTAAATATAAATTAGTCCTCTATCCGGTAATTAAGGAACACGGTTATATTCACTCAAAGTCAACCTCTACATAAATCAGTCCTCTCTCCGGCAATTGAGTTAAGGAACACAATTTTATTCCATCAAATCACCATAAGAGATTTAAAGAGGGAAAAACTATTTTACATCATTAATAAATATAATTATGTTTTTTTCAACATCAAGTTTTTTTTTTTTTTTTAACAACACACTAAATTATTTATTCAAAATCCGTAATTATGATTACAAATTTAACACAATTGACCTCAACTTAATACTCCCTCATGTGAAAAAATAATATAATTACCAATTCATGTTTCATAGTTACAATTTTACTTCAAACTAGTGCGTAGCCCGTGCGATGCACGGGTAAATAATATTAAATGTTAGTTATAAATTAAAGATGTAAATAAATAATATTAAATAATAATGTGCATTAACACATGATATAATTTACAAGTAGTGCTAAGGAGCCAACTGTTGGCTCCATTATGGAGCCAACAGCCGAGCATATTTTATTGTGAATAATATAAAATTATCTTGTATAAAAGAACATAAAACATGTATTTGGATACACGCAATTAGTTTTTTTACCGTTAGCAAAAAGATGTGAGTGCAAGTACACGTCGAGCATATTTCCCAAAATGATGTGAGTGCAACATATTTTGAAAATTAGTTTTTTTACCGTTTGCAAGTACACGTCGAGCAAGCATAAGAAATAATTAGATACCGGAATTATGAAACAAAAACACGTCACGTGAGTACAAAATGTATTGAAAATTAGTTTTTTTATGTTTAGTAATTTATGCATAATAAATATATAGATACCCAAATTATCATTAAAAATAACGTACAAAATATTTTTCATTAAAAAAGATGTACAAAATAGTTTAAAAATCTATGTCCGAACTACTTTTATTCAATTAAGTTCAAATTTAGTTAGTCTGAAAATCTATAGCCGAACTACTTATTCAATTAAAAATTATTCTTTCTTTTTTCTTAACTATCCACGCCTAGATTTATGTTTATGGGTTGGACTTATAAAATAATTATTAAAATTATATTAAGGATAAACATCACAAAATTCTGTACAAACTGTTTTTGAAAACACAGTTGACCTAACAAATTGAATATTGCATTTAACACTCCATCTTTTATTTCTATTTATAGTATACAAATATTTTTTTTGGCGGGAATTACTTTATAAATGTAGTAAATAGTAATTCTTATTATATATTATATATATATATATATAGATTAATGTTAAACTTGTATAATCTTAATATCTAAACACGGTCGATTTCAATATCTACACAATGAACAACTCTCAAAAGCATCAACCAATTAAACCAAACAAACGAGCCACAAACAACAATTACTACAATTACACAAAATATTTTTTATCTTTTTTTTTTCGTTTTATTCGTTATAGTACCTATTATTAGCTTTAGTAACTTCCCAACATCCTTTCCGAAAAAAAAAAAAAATTAAAACAAAAAATCAAAACAACAAATTAAGGACCAAAAAATTTTAGGGTTTATTCTCAATTATAGAAGCTAGACCAGTCACTAACTTCACTCCCCTGTTAAGGTTCTTAGGCTTAATCTCCAATGGCTCCCATTTTCTCATCAATGCCTTCTTGGCCCCATCATCCCCTTCACAAGGGCTGTTACCATCAGAAAAACCAAACACGGATTCATCACCGTTACAAATATTCGAGCCGAGTCGAATGAAAGTCGAGAGCCATTTAGCCTTCACGTAACCGGCCTTACGCCATGGTGGCACGGGCATGCCTCTCTTCTTAAGGCTCTGTTTGGCAGCTTCGGACACCAAGGTTACGATTTTCTCAAGACGTTCGGCTTTCCCCACAAATATGTTGGGAAGAGTTTGGAGGATCTGTCGGTATGCCTTGGTGGGCCTCGCGATTTCGAACTCCGATCGAAAATCGATGTCGATTATCACCCGTTCACCGCCTTCGATTGTTGCATCCACATATTCATATTCCCCTATGAAAAATTTCCAATTTAATCATCAATCGTTAAAGGTTAAAGAGAAAAACAAACAAGACCCAAGAAACTAATCCAGCAAGATGACAAATTTTACCAGCAATGAAAGAGGGGGTTTTCTCCCATTTTGATCTGCAGATTGAAGCTTTGTACCCAAGAGCAATTAGGCCATCTGCCACAATTTTTCTGCAAAATTCATCTTTTCGCTTACCGATTTTGTTTCTATTAACGATTTTCGCAGTGTCGGCTAGCAGATTCCTCTCGGAGGCGCTCGAGCAGGGGACCAGACTCTGCATACAATTCATTAAAAAAAAAAAAAAAAAAAATTGNAAAAAAAAAAAAATTCATATGCTTAAGCACAGTGTACATCATGTATGGACCACAAAATCAAAGATTAGATTAAAATCTACCTTGAGAACATCGAATGCGTGGCCAGAGGAACAATTGCACGATTCTGAACAATTGTGAGGATCCTCATCGGAGCTATCTGTGCAGCTTCCATTGAAGCAATTGCATTTTTTCCTCCCACACCTATCGTTGGTCTCCTCGATAAAATTCTGAACCATTTTTGCCAGGCAAACCGAGCTAGGCTCGAACTCCTCCGAGCAGTCCTTGCTCCAGTTATGAGGCGCCGGAGGCTTATCTTGGGCCGATGCTCTCAACACGCCGGAAAAAGGTCTCTCGAAAAACCGCTTGAATTTCAATTTAAGCATTGGTTTTGCCTGAGGCTCGAGCGGCCGGTTGAAATCGATGGGCTGGATCTTCATGGGGTAAGGAATGGATGATGAACGATATTTCAAAGCCGCTGATTTTTTCTGGAGATTTTAATCATTTTCCGGCTACCATTTTCCAACGGCACGTTTAGTATGAGAATGTCCAGTCAAAAGGGAGGACTTCAAATTCTGAAGTGAAAATATCTCAAGTTCAATACAACATCTTGGAAGCAAAAACACACGAACAGCTCACCAATAATTTCTATGATAGAAATGCAGATTTAGACGAACTTATCAAGCCAAAAATTAAGAAGAAAACCTCCAAAAAAAATAAAAATAAAAAAATGTTTACGAAACGCCGAAACTAAAGTAAATCTCACAGCTAGACACAATCAACACAAAAGAAAACTATGATTTTCAGGCGTCCAAGGAATCTCTTTTTCGAAGTCTTTCCGCCTCCTCTCACTCTATCGATCTGCAGAAATTCACAAAGGTTGAAAATCTCAACAATCAGACGCCTTCATCTTGTGGATTAATCGCAAGCGACGTTTTAACAATCCGTCAACTGATCCAATTTCGACACACAAAGCATCGAATAACTTCTAGACTCGGCCACGCAAACACTTTAAATTAGCTTCGCTTTTGCTTAGGGCTTTCAATTACCGCAAAATCCGACTACCGAAAAAAAAAAAACGGAAAGGCACAAAACGGGGACCTGTCAGAATGACGTCAGTTTTCCGTCAACCTGCTGACCGTCGATCGAACGCCGAACAAAAGCATAAACGAATCTTCTGGAAGAATATCAATCGGAGACGCTCGAGATGAGATTTACACGCATAGTGTGTGAGAGAGAATAGGGAGTTTCTTTTGGCGTGATGGTTTTTTTGCAATACTCTTCTCAGTGGTGTGAATGTGTGAACTGTGAAGTGTTGGGGAACAATTTAAAAAGGAAGTTTTGGATTGCTGATTAGGACGGATAGCGCCACGCTGGCATTACACGTGGCAGTCTGAGGCGGAAGGGCTTGTGGCTACGTGTCGGGAGATTAGCGAGGTTAGGCTCGCGATCGCGACCACGAGTAGCCACGTCTCGCTTGTGTCGACTTTCAGGTGAATTTCCGTAATTACTCTTGCACGTCCCATGAAATTACGTGGTGCTTCGCAGTCTTTGCCACGAAGTATTTCTCACTGCCTCACACGTGCGGACGCGCGGTTTATCCGCACCGTGGAGTGGAATTTGCCAAAACCCGAGCGAGTGCCCCAAATTTTAATTTGCTCCCCTGGTTATTTTAATCCCCTCTATATATAATTTCAGAATGCGCTGAGTCTACGTGGCAAATTCTCATGCTTTGGAATCTTATTTAGCAAAAAATAATGCTTTGGAGTTAGACTTGGATATAAATTAATATCTGTATTAATTGTATTTTAATATAATTTCTTATTATAACCATTGAATTTCAAATATATTTTAAAAGTTGATAACTTTTGTATTTCTTATCGGTTTTACATATATAATATATCAAATTAATCATCTTTTGATGAGCTTCGATTTGACATCCATATTGTATATATAAAATAAATAAATTATATTTATCTTTATAATAATAATATAATAATTATTAAAATTAATTAGAAAATAACATTATTTATCAATTAATATATTTATGTTTAATGTAATTATATGTTATAAGGTAGAAAATTTATTATAATATACACAGCCGGCTCTAGAGGGGAGGCACTATAGGCCCATGCCTAGGGCCTCCCATTTTTAGGGGCCTCAATTTTTTTTTAATATTTATGTATTTGTGTTTGGTTTTATTTATTTATACAAATAACAGGAATAATGACTAGATATGAACTTGACTTATTACATAAATCAAGAGACTAATTAATGAAGAGGCTAATAACAAAATATGTACTTTGTGTAGGAATTTGAGGCCATAAATATTTCATTTGTTTTCTTATGATGTTCGGTCAGAACAAGTTGTGTGGGAATAAATATTCTTTGCTGTAATATGATTTTTATTTTTTCCTCCTTGTTGTTTTCGTGACTGTTTGAATGCAATTTATAATTTGTTAAAGGTAATTTTTTCAAGGTCTAGAAAAACAAGAAAAAACCTTTTTTTTTTTCAATTATTTATTTATTTAATAGTCTTGTTTAATTAGGTTTTTTTTTTGTATAATTCTATCTACAAATAGCCCTACCACGTAAGTTCAAATCGGCAAATTTGAAAAGGTAAATTTCGTCTGGGGCCTCCAAATTTTTAGAGACGGCCCTGATAATATAACATATATAAGTCGCACAAGTAACACCTGTCATACTAAAATATATAATAATATATACTCCCTCCTATTTTTATTATTTGTCACTTTGGCTTAATTGATCATTGATAAAATAAATGTCGTTTTAGATATTTTGTTCATATTTTTCCATTTTTAACCCTCCATCTAATACACAGTGTCTCTTCATATCCAATCTCCATCGTTTCCCATAACATCTATTAACTAGGGTTAACATTGTCAAGAAAAAGTATCTTAATTAGTGTGTTGCATTTGAATTGATATTATGAAGTCCGTTTGTATTTTACTATTATAAATATATATATATATATATATATAATACCAAATAGTAATATATATCTTTACAAATAAAATTTAAATTTATTTATCAAACTAAATTAAATTATAAATCAAATAAAACTATAAATTATATTATAAAGTAATAGAAATTGGTATGTATTCTTTTAAAAATGATATTTATTTCAAATTTAATTGGTATGTTGTCAATGTAATAAAAATAAATAATTATTTATATAAATTCAAAAATTACATATAAAGTTAAAAAAAATGTGAAGCACGATTGATACGACACTTGATGTATTAGGCATCTAATTAAGTAAAAAAATTAATCTATTTTGCTTAATATTAAATAAACATATTCTACACTTATGCATATACATATCACCATTATTTCTATTTATTTAAAATATATATTTTTGTACTTATGCAATAGTAAATAATATCGATATTTTTATATGATATTAGTAAAAAAAATTCAACACGGGTTGACATTTTTATTTAATGTACGGGTGTTTAATTATTATGATTAAAAAAATATAATTTGACAATTTAATTAAAATCCAAAATAATGTTTTATATAAAACTAAATTATTTTAGTTTTAAAAAAATAAAAAATTTAATATTATTTACAAAAGTTATATAATTCAACACCCGTGTAATACACGGGTATTGTACTAGTAATTATTATTTATTAATAACTAGTTAAAATGGAGGTTATGTGTGAAATCTGTCCATATAAAATAAATATAATACATGGTAAAAATAGATATAAATTTTCCCCCACTCTTTTAATTAATAATTAGTAACATATTAAAAATAGACTATAATTTTTCCGCATTCATTTAGTCTATAACTAGAAGTGCTACAATATTGTTCGTCTATTATATGAGTGTTAGTTGAAAATTATATATTTAAAACATTAAAATTAAAATGCTTGTTTGAAAAAAAATATCTTTTTTTTTTTGTTTTTATTTGAAAGGACACTAAGACTTGCTCCTCTGATTTTATAATAAATTTTATAACTCATACTTGAAAGATAGTTTTAATTATTAATTGTATATTTTATTATTTTTTAATTGTAATATATAAATTATTATCTATTTATAAAGGTGTGTGTATATATATAATATGGCAATGTAATCGATGTTGTCAAAAGTTTATTAATTTGATATGTCATATATGATAAAAAAAAAATATTAACTTTTAGAATACATTTATAATTTAATTTAATTAAGTGTTTTATAATTGTAAAGATCCAAGCGTCAACTCTAATAATAAATATCCACAAACCTCATTTATCTATCCTCAATGTATCACATCACCCAAAACTTCATTTTCGCTCCTACAATAAAAAATTTTAAATAACTATAAATATTTTTTTAATGGGTCTCACATGTTTCCTACTTACTTTATTTTAATATCATACTTCTATATATTATATAATAATTTAGTATAAAACTATATTTATTCACTTTTAATGGACCTCAAATGAGGTTTGATTTTACAAAGCTTTAATTAAACCTAAAACCTCAAACCTCGTGTCTTTAATGATAAAAGTCCAAATCTACATGGACTACTCCGAAGTACTAAAATTATTTGACAGATAGGATTATGAAATATCAAAATTGACACGTACTTTTGAAAACCCTGTATTTATATATAATATTTTAAGATAAAATAAATAATCGTAACTGATTTAGCACACCATAGTTGAGTTGAAGATGATTCGTGTATAAATCTTTATTAATATTGTCAATAATTAAGCTAAACGCAATACAACTTATTGTATAGTTTAATGAATATCAAAATTCAATTTAATCATATATGATTGTTACAATAGTCCAAGGGAGTAGACTTCTATGTGCAAAAGTTCCAAGTCAAAATTTCGAATCTAAGTAAGTCAACATAAAATTATATGCACTTAAAAATTGAAAGGTGTGAATTGATAATATTCGACCTTAATATTTTCCTTTTCTATATGAATATGGATGATTTTTCTTCATTGAGAAAGTATGGTGAGATTATAAGTTTGATTTGTTAAAAGATGGAAAAAGGTGGTAATTATGAATACAGTAACTGTAATATATTAAATAGAACCGTGTAAGTAAAATATGGAATTTTAGTTAAAAGGAGCCAATCATATTGTTTTTTGGTGATATATGGGGATATTCCTTTAATTTTTTATTATTATTATGTTTCACTTTACTATGATCAAATTTCAAAAAAATCATTTTATTTTTAACAAAATCAAACCACGCCATATCCATACCATTTCACACCTACATAAATTTACTTTAGTGGTAATATATGTCAGGTTACCTAGTTGATTTGAAGTTTTGACCTGAAACTTGGGGCACATATGAATTTCTTCCAATTAGAATATCCAGAGAATCGTTATTTACAATAAGAATTAATTTACATAAATTTTACTTGAAATTTGGGCATATATGATGTCTTCCCATTAGAATATTTATATATAGGATTATATTTACTTTTACTGTTATATCATTTGAAGAGTACACCTTATCAATTTAAATATTGTATTATTATACCCAATACCATCGAACCGTGGTATTTAGAATTGATGGGATAACTGGAAAACAAATGTGACAATATATATAAATTTTAGTATCAAAATATAAAAATATATAAAAATTAAATAATTATATTTATCAAGTTACTGATTAATTTCTCTTTTACTTTATTCATTCACTGTGTTTTTTGATATTTTGGTTGATAGTTACACTACTATATGTTATTATCATTTTTTGGTATTTTGTGCAATTTATACCAAATCAATAAATTGTTGTACCAATAAATCTCCAATCACATAGGATGATGTGGCCTATATATTAATCTCAGCCCAAATGCACAAACAAGGCCCAGGATCACAATAACCGTTCCTCAGCTGGCCCATTCGATTATCGCCAAGGTTGTCGATCGCTCGATCAGCACGACGATCGCTCGCAGTGGCTTCTCGGAGAAGATTGCAGATCGCTCTAACCGTCTGAGCACGCTCTGAAAAAGTTGGCAGCACCATCCTAATTTGCCACATCCTCAAAAGACGGCCTTGCATGGATACACGCGGCATCACCCTACACTCCTAGGTGGCATTACACTTTTAGTGCCAAAAACCTAATTTTGGCTATAGAATCCAGCCTCCGCCAAAGGTTATAGAGGCATAATCGGAGAACGGTATCACCATCACCATCATAAAACAGACTCGGAGATCTGAATCTCCTCGTCGCACCCGTTTAAGGGCCGACGAAATAGGTGTCGTTTTACTTTCCGTAATTTCTTTGATCCTTTTAATAAAATTAACTCCACAAACCGTTACAATAACGAATAACCCCTGATTATGTTGCCTCCATTACACACATCTTACAACCGTTAGCGGTCCACTGCTAATATAATGACGCTAGAAGGAGGGCAACCATCAATAGTTATTGAGCCTATAAATAGCCAACATCCCCTCAAGTTATTTTCATATCCAAACACTTTCTCTTGTATATACATGGTTTCCTTATCCCACAAGAATGGAAGCTCAATCGACCCTCTTTTCTCTCCAGTGATTGGGCGAGTGAATGGATTTATGCCCCCTCAGTCTTGCGAGTCCGCGTCCACCCCCGGCTGACCCTCTGGTCTTCAGTCACATCGTCATTTGTTCCACATAATATCCACAAAAATTTTGATACTCTATGTTCTCCTCTTCTCCTCACAAAAAACCCATATTTGATCCCTTGGGCTTGACATGTTATCAGCCCACCTTCAACAAGAAAATGGCTCGATCAGCCCACCCTCAACAAGAACATGAGGGTGAGCGATTCGTCGATCCTCAAGTAATCACGACCTATTCGAGGCTGGGGGCCTGAGATCGGACTGGACGAAATGTCCCTAACTAAACTTGACTATTATTCTCTCCTCAGGCCCATAAACCAACTTCCCAGCTATCAACCCGTAATGGTCAGACGGTCACTGAATATTCTTGATCATGACTGACGGTCTGATCGATCGCCGTGCTGGGTTGGTGTCGCAAGACCGAGGGCCTGGCAGAACCGCGATCCTGGGAAGTAATATAACCCAGGGTCGAGATAAATCACCAAGGTCAATTGAGGCCACAAACTGCCACCATTATTAACGACGATCTCCCCATCGGCACAAGTCTGCGTGTCCATGCATTGATGCCTCCATGGGACATTTTTGGTGCATGGCAGTATTATCCCATGGTAAGAACGTCATATGCACACTCCCTACCGATCTACAACCGTCACCCTCAGTCGCATGCAAAAGCAAATGCTAATCTATATATTGCTTCTCATGCTTCGGCAAAGTACTCGCCTGACGAAACAAGCGCATTGCTCAACCAATTATCAACCCATGGTGGCCAGTCAAATAATGAGGAGGTACCAACATCCATCAAGAATCTCCTCGAGCATCTATACACCCGGAATATAGCAATTTTTTATTTTTTAGAGATGTATAGGCTGACAAAGTTACACATGTTCATGTATCCCATCAATTATACATTATGTTTTGAATAATTCATGATTACTTTGCGTGAATGTTGTACTTTAACAATCGCTCAATCTTTTTCCTCTCAATCGCTTCTTACCAATTGTATGGCAATTGGCTAAGTCGATGCGATCAATACACTACCATCGACCAAAAACACTGGCGCATCATGATAGATTCACAATCAAACTACAATGAACGACGAATTTCGATTTGAGAGGCGGTCAAAACAAAATCCTCAAGGAAGAACCAAACACGAAGAGATCGTCGCAACAACCTAAGACGCATGACGATCATAAAAGGAAAACGAGTATTGTCCAATCGTGGTAGCTACGATGAATTCAACATGGGTTATCGGCGGACCGTAGGAACACCCAAGCTGACCACAAAAGCAATTGACCTAATCTAAGCCGCAGGGTATGGGCCTAGCACCTAAGTGACATCTTGTTCATCGTAAGACTCTATGAGCTTGCTCTGGAATATAAAGCAATCAAAACCTTGGTGCAAGCTACGCCTAAGTATCAAACGCTTCCGGGTGGTGTCAAACCCCGGTTAAAACGCTTTCGGGCAGTGTCAAGCCCGGACAAAACTTTGGCATGGTCTATGCCCAAGTATCTAACGTTCTCGAGCAGTGTCTCGAGTAGTTTCAAGCCCCAGTAAAAACGCTCTCGAGTAGTTTCAAGCTCCGACAAAACGCTTTCAGGCGGTGTCAAGTCCTAGTTAATTGAAATCTAAGAGCATCTCTAACGGTCCATGAATCGCTCTATTCAATTGCCACATAGCCCAAAAGATCCAATGTGGCATTTAAAATATGTAGAAGTCTTTCTAGATGTAGAAAAACTTCTAAATATCTTTCATTCTATATTATATTATTTATTTTATATTTCTATCCCCACTAACCAATTATTATCTTATATGTGTCAAATTATTGCACAATTGTCATTAATCATTGGAGACAAAATATTTTTATTACTTTCTACACACCATACATCTCAAGATAGATGCACCACATCTATTTCATGTTGCCAAATTATTGAAATCCAATAATACCTTGTTAAATTTCCCATTCTAGATGTTTTAATACCATAAACCATGATATTTCTTTTTTTTTTTCTTTCCATTTTTTTTTATTAAACCATGATATTTCGTATATGAACAATAACATAATATTCAATTTCTTCAAAATAAAATAAACCTTTTTTTAATAGAAAATAAAATAAACCTAAAGCATGAAAAATTATGTCGTTGGAAAAAAAAAACATGAAAAATCTACATCTCGATATGAAAACGTGATTGTAATTTCGCCCGCGGCCAGCCTCGAAATCGCATTTTTCCCACTCAAAACCAACCGCCAAAACCCCTCTCCACATTTCAAAACACTTTCACGTGAG